AACTGATGAATAATCTTTAAAATTTTTTTAGAATTATCATTGTATAATCTTTTTGATTATTATTAGAGATTGTAATTTAAGTTATTCGAATTAACTAAACTACTTAGGATTTCAATGAAATTTTCACATATTAATTATTAGTATTTGTCCAAAATCAATTAAATTTAGTTTTGTATTTTAAACAAAAAACATTGTTATAGAGATTTAACACTAGTCATGATTTATGATCGATAAAATCAAAAATCTTTTATAATAAACAAACCAAAAAAACAGTAATTAAAAAACAAACCACTATGATAAGAATCAAAAATTCAAAATAATATAAATTTATATATCGATATCTGTGTTCGATACTTTTAATTTTAACATGTTCAACATATAAAAATGTAAAAATACAATATATATAGTATTATTTATGTTATAATACCTGAATAATACCTAAATGAAGTATGACATACAATATCTAACCTTTAGAAAAAAGACAATCAAAAAAAAAATGAAGAAAAAAAAAAAATTACATCCATTGTCTTTTCATCTTTGGGTAAAATAAAAATTGTTGATATATATACAAAACAAAAAAAATATATATATATATATAAATGTGTGAATATGAAATTTCAAATATGTAAGAATCTACATCCATTTCGATTAAAATCATGGTTGAAGCTAAGAATTAGACCTATTTAAAATTTAAAAAATTTTGAGCGTTATTAATAATAGATCTTTTAGTATATATTGGGATTGGAAGTTTGATAACAAAAGGTTTTAATAGGTTTAATGTTTTCAAATAGAGACCCTCAAATCTCAGAATCAGCCACGATTTTTATTTACACCATCTCCAATTAATTTAAATTCAATCCCATCAATCTTCAATTTCTTATCTGATTCACCATTATTCTTATCTGTTGCTTTCTTAGCCAATCTTTTTATTGCACTACGCTTCAGTTTAATCTTGAAAGCGGCATCCAAAAGTAAGTCCGGTGTTAATAATTCATGTGGAATTGAACCTAAAAATTCAAGAATTTCTACATTTGTCGGACAATGTTTTAAAATATAAATTTTTGTACAATCTAGGATCGCTAAGCCAATTCTAAAAAACAGCTTGACTCCTATAAAAAAAAAAAAAAAGTTATTAGAGAGGAATAAAAAAAAAAAAAAAAAAATGCAAGATAAATCAGAATTTACCTTCGAAATAAAATATATCCCATACGCGAAGAACTGATGCCCATGGTAAAACCATAGTAAATATTGTCAAGAACCATTTCGGAATATAAAGGATTGGATCAATAGACTCATTTCTCTATTTATAAATATGATATAATAAATGCTTAGTTTTGTTATAAGTAATCAAAAATGTATGATTTAAAAGTAAAAGATATATATAATTACAAAATGTTGCGCCAACTTTGGATCATGTTCGAACAATAGTAACTCAAATATGCGAGAATCTATTTTAATTTGTGGTAAATCAGGAGCAAAGTAACCACACATATATTCTTTTATCGTGGCAACAAGAAGCCAAAACGTATCCTCAGCAGGCATCTGCATTAACATCATACCAACAAGACGTCCCATACCCTGACAATATCCTACAACATCATCGTAATGTGCATATGCTTTCAATATATTATATAGATCATCTTGTCCGAATCCTTTTTCACGGAATTGTATATGATCAGGGTAACATCGGTCAACGTCTTTCTCAATATCCTCATATATTGGTAATTTTTCTTTATTTCTTAATACCTGTTAGAGAAAAATTTGTCGTTAATCTATAACAAAAGCGAAATAACAGAATCTTTGTTTAAAAAGACATACATCAAAAACACCCTTTGTACGATATTTATGGACACCAGCCATTAATTGCCAGGCTCTGCCACGTATAGACTCTGGAATACCGAGACGAACTAATTTCTTTATCTGTTAATATATAATAATTACTTAAGTGATTTAAATATATATATATATATATATATATATCGCAATAAGAATTTACCTTTCTCGAGTCTCTCGCCATTGAAGGGTCCATATTTTGGACAAAATTAACCCACTTTGTCTCACGATCACGATATAAACGAATAGTGCGAGCAGTTTTTTCTTCAACACCCGGTGCTTGTACACTAAAAAGTGTTAAAAAAAAAAATTTTTTTTTTAATATATAAATAATATATAAATAATATATAAAATTATAGTCAATTTCATACATTCTTTGAATCCCATCAGCACCTTCAGGAATTTCATTATCAGCAACTTTATGGACAAAACCATAATCATCAACAGCAAGAACCTTTTCTTTCTTAGTGCTATTAGTACTATTAATGCTATCAGTCTTTCTAGATTCTATATTTTTAATGGATTTCACATCTAAATCATCCTCGTCTGAACTAACATCTTCACTTTCATTAGTACTATCATTAGGATTGTCATACATAAAAGGAGCTACCGGAGGTTTTGATAAGTCAATTAATGAACTGTTATTGCTAGCACAAAAATTATCATCATCATCAAAATTATCTTTTAATACAATAGGATTTATTGTTAAAGGACGCCTTTTATGACGAATTTCAGATTCAACATCATCAACAAAAATTTGAGGTAAGACAGTTGGAGAAGATGATGGAGAAGTAGGTGTGGAAAACTGTCTAACAGGCTGATTGGAAGGAACAATTTTTGGAGAAGATAAAGGAGAGTTAGATCTAGCAGAAGGATTAGAATAAATAACTTTCGGAGAAGATAGAGGTGAATTAGGCCTAGCAGAAGAATTAGAAGGAATAGTTTTCGGAGAAGATAGAGGAGAATTTGGTCTAGCAGAATGATTATAAGGAATAGTTTTCGGAGAAGATAGAGGAGAATTAGGTCTAGCAGAAGAATTAGAATAAATAGTTTTTGGAGAAGATAAAGGAGAACTAGGTCTAGCAGAAGAATTAGAAGAAATAGTTTTTGGAGAGGATAGAGGAGGAGAAGGAAATTGCGTAACAGAAGGACTAGAAGGAACAACTTTTGGAGAAGATAAAGGCAAATTAGGCCTAGCAGAAGGACTAGAAGGAACAACTTTTGGAGAAGATAAAGGCGAATTAGGCCTAGTAGAAGGACTAGAAGAAAGGATTCTTGGAGAAGATAAAGGAGAATTAGGCGAGGAAAATTGTCTGGAAGAATTATTGGAAGGAATAACATTTGGAGAAGATAATGGAGGAGTTGGTGAAGAAAATTGTCTATAAGAATTATTAGAAACATCAATTTTTGGAGAAGATAATGGAGAAGAAAATTGTCTTGCAGAATGATTAGAAAGATCAACTTTTGGAGAAGATAATGGAGAAGTTGGAGAAGAAATTTGTCTAATAGAATTATTAGAAGGATCAACTTTTGGAGAAGATAATGGAGGAGTTGGAGAAGAAAATTGTCTAACAGAATTATTAGAAGGATCAACCTTTGGAGAAGATAATGGAGGAGTTGGAGAAGAAAATTGTCTAGCAGAAGGATTAGAAGGAATAAATTCTGGAGAAGATAATGGAGGAGTAGGAGAAGAAAGTTCTCTAGCAGAAGGGTTTGAAGGAATAACTTTTGGAGAAGATGGCGGAGGAGTAGCTGGTGTAATTAGAGATGAAGATGGTTCTGGGAAATTTTCAAAGATTAAAAGGAAATTCAAAATAAAGTTGAAGCACAAATATGAAGAAAGTTACATAGCACACCTGAAATATCCATCGAAGATATCGAAGATATAGAAGATGAACGAGATCTAGTTTGAACAATTTGACCAACATCAGACGGACAAAGATAAGAAGTTTGTTGTAATTGTCTTTGTGAACTATCAGGTGATAAGCTATTAGCTTTCTTCGAAGATATTTGGGTTTTTAAAGGACCATTGAACGAAACCGATTTCTCTTTAAATTTTCCAATTACACCCTCACAAAATCCCTGTTACGGCATAAATTCATAAATTAAAATATGGCGAGGTTAAAATATAAACACATTAATATTCATCATATAAAAACGTACAAGATAAATATCGCCATCAATATGTTTCAGGACAGTAATAACTTCACCTAAAATTATTAAGAGTCAGTACGAATACTTTTAATCTAAACAATTCCATTAGATAAAAATGATTTGAGAACAACTTGACTCTATGTTCTACTTTATTCTCATCCCTCGAACGAGAATGGAAATATAAAAAAAAAAAAAAAAAAAACTGAATTTTGAAAAAAAAAACATTTTCCGATATTCCATATGTCCCAATTTTTTTTTTAAGAAATAGAAGAAGGGGTATAGTAATGCGAATTAGTTTTTAACACCCAAATTTTTGTTATTTAAAATTAGTCTAGTGATTCTCTTTAAATTATATATAAAATTATCAAAACTTGAAAAATTACACCAGTTTGCCGCAAAAGGTATGTTAATAGATTCGCTATTTTTATGTAATTTTAATAATTACTAATTCGAACAACCACAGGAGGGATTGGAACATGTGTGGCTATCGAAGACACATTAGCAAAGACCCCAGTAGATTTGATGTTTTATACTGGTAAACAATATTTTGAGTGAAACCAACTTGATTCTATGTTTTACTTTAGAGAATTAATTTTTATATCCCCAATTTGTAATTTAATTTGTATCCCAAATTTCATAAATGCTTTTTCTCAGCTTAATAAAAGTTATTCTTTTAGTTGTTTTGATTCTAATGGTGGGTAAAATCACCAAAATTGGTCTAGTGGTTTTTCTTTTTAGTCATTTATAAAGTTAGCTAATTTTATATATAATTTAAAGAGAATCACTAGACTAATTTTAAATAACAAAAATTTGGGTGTTAAAAACTAATTCGCATTACTATACCCCTTCTTCTATTTCTTAAAAAAAAAATTGGGACATATGGAATATCGGAAAATGTTTTTTTTTTCAAAATTCAGTTTTTTTTTTTTTTTTTTTTATATTTCCATTCTCGTTCGAGGGATGAGAATAAAGTAGAACATAGAGTCAAGTTGTTCTCAAATCATTTTTATCTAATGGAATTGTTTAGATTAAAAGTATTCGTACTGACTCTTAATAATTTTAGGTGAAGTTATTACTGTCCTGAAACATATTGATGGCGATATTTATCTTGTACGTTTTTATATGATGAATATTAATGTGTTTATATTTTAACCTCGCCATATTTTAATTTATGAATTTATGCCGTAACAGGGATTTTGTGAGGGTGTAATTGGAAAATTTAAAGAGAAATCGGTTTCGTTCAATGGTCCTTTAAAAACCCAAATATCTTCGAAGAAAGCTAATAGCTTATCACCTGATAGTTCACAAAGACAATTACAACAAACTTCTTATCTTTGTCCGTCTGATGTTGGTCAAATTGTTCAAACTAGATCTCGTTCATCTTCTATATCTTCGATATCTTCGATGGATATTTCAGGTGTGCTATGTAACTTTCTTCATATTTGTGCTTCAACTTTATTTTGAATTTCCTTTTAATCTTTGAAAATTTCCCAGAACCATCTTCATCTCTAATTACACCAGCTACTCCTCCGCCATCTTCTCCAAAAGTTATTCCTTCAAACCCTTCTGCTAGAGAACTTTCTTCTCCTACTCCTCCATTATCTTCTCCAGAATTTATTCCTTCTAATCCTTCTGCTAGACAATTTTCTTCTCCAACTCCTCCATTATCTTCTCCAAAGGTTGATCCTTCTAATAATTCTGTTAGACAATTTTCTTCTCCAACTCCTCCATTATCTTCTCCAAAAGTTGATCCTTCTAATAATTCTATTAGACAAATTTCTTCTCCAACTTCTCCATTATCTTCTCCAAAAGTTGATCTTTCTAATCATTCTGCAAGACAATTTTCTTCTCCATTATCTTCTCCAAAAATTGATGTTTCTAATAATTCTTATAGACAATTTTCTTCACCAACTCCTCCATTATCTTCTCCAAATGTTATTCCTTCCAATAATTCTTCCAGACAATTTTCCTCGCCTAATTCTCCTTTATCTTCTCCAAGAATCCTTTCTTCTAGTCCTTCTACTAGGCCTAATTCGCCTTTATCTTCTCCAAAAGTTGTTCCTTCTAGTCCTTCTGCTAGGCCTAATTTGCCTTTATCTTCTCCAAAAGTTGTTCCTTCTAGTCCTTCTGTTACGCAATTTCCTTCTCCTCCTCTATCCTCTCCAAAAACTATTTCTTCTAATTCTTCTGCTAGACCTAGTTCTCCTTTATCTTCTCCAAAAACTATTTATTCTAATTCTTCTGCTAGACCTAATTCTCCTCTATCTTCTCCGAAAACTATTCCTTATAATCATTCTGCTAGACCAAATTCTCCTCTATCTTCTCCGAAAACTATTCCTTCTAATTCTTCTGCTAGGCCTAATTCACCTCTATCTTCTCCGAAAGTTATTTATTCTAATCCTTCTGCTAGATCTAACTCTCCTTTATCTTCTCCAAAAATTGTTCCTTCCAATCAGCCTGTTAGACAGTTTTCCACACCTACTTCTCCATCATCTTCTCCAACTGTCTTACCTCAAATTTTTGTTGATGATGTTGAATCTGAAATTCGTCATAAAAGGCGTCCTTTAACAATAAATCCTATTGTATTAAAAGATAATTTTGATGATGATGATAATTTTTGTGCTAGCAATAACAGTTCATTAATTGACTTATCAAAACCTCCGGTAGCTCCTTTTATGTATGACAATCCTAATGATAGTACTAATGAAAGTGAAGATGTTAGTTCAGACGAGGATGATTTAGATGTGAAATCCATTAAAAATATAGAATCTAGAAAGACTGATAGCATTAATAGTACTAATAGCACTAAGAAAGAAAAGGTTCTTGCTGTTGATGATTATGGTTTTGTCCATAAAGTTGCTGATAATGAAATTCCTGAAGGTGCTGATGGGATTCAAAGAATGTATGAAATTGACTATAATTTTATATATTATTTATATATTATTTATATATTAAAAAAAAAATTTTTTTTTTTAACACTTTTTAGTGTACAAGCACCGGGTGTTGAAGAAAAAACTGCTCGCACTATTCGTTTATATCGTGATCGTGAGACAAAGTGGGTTAATTTTGTCCAAAATATGGACCCTTCAATGGCGAGAGACTCGAGAAAGGTAAATTCTTATTGCGATATATATATATATATATATATATATTTAAATCACTTAAGTAATTATTATATATTAACAGATAAAGAAATTAGTTCGTCTCGGTATTCCAGAGTCTATACGTGGCAGAGCCTGGCAATTAATGGCTGGTGTCCATAAATATCGTACAAAGGGTGTTTTTGATGTATGTCTTTTTAAACAAAGATTCTGTTATTTCGCTTTTGTTATAGATTAACGACAAATTTTTCTCTAACAGGTATTAAGAAATAAAGAAAAATTACCAATATATGAGGATATTGAGAAAGACGTTGACCGATGTTACCCTGATCATATACAATTCCGTGAAAAAGGATTCGGACAAGATGATCTATATAATATATTGAAAGCATATGCACATTACGATGATGTTGTAGGATATTGTCAGGGTATGGGACGTCTTGTTGGTATGATGTTAATGCAGATGCCTGCTGAGGATACGTTTTGGCTTCTTGTTGCCACGATAAAAGAATATATGTGTGGTTACTTTGCTCCTGATTTACCACAAATTAAAATAGATTCTCGCATATTTGAGTTACTATTGTTCGAACATGATCCAAAGTTGGCGCAACATTTTGTAATTATATATATCTTTTACTTTTAAATCATACATTTTTGATTACTTATAACAAAACTAAGCATTTATTATATCATATTTATAAATAGAGAAATGAGTCTATTGATCCAATCCTTTATATTCCGAAATGGTTCTTGACAATATTTACTATGGTTTTACCATGGGCATCAGTTCTTCGCGTATGGGATATATTTTATTTCGAAGGTAAATTCTGATTTATCTTGCATTTTTTTTTTTTTTTTTTTATTCCTCTCTAATAACTTTTTTTTTTTTTTTATAGGAGTCAAGCTGTTTTTTAGAATTGGCTTAGCGATCCTAGATTGTACAAAAATTTATATTTTAAAACATTGTCCGACAAATGTAGAAATTCTTGAATTTTTAGGTTCAATTCCACATGAATTATTAACACCGGACTTACTTTTGGATGCCGCTTTCAAGATTAAACTGAAGCGTAGTGCAATAAAAAGATTGGCTAAGAAAGCAACAGATAAGAATAATGGTGAATCAGATAAGAAATTGAAGATTGATGGGATTGAATTTAAATTAATTGGAGATGGTGTAAATAAAAATCGTGGCTGATTCTGAGATTTGAGGGTCTCTATTTGAAAACATTAAACCTATTAAAACCTTTTGTTATCAAACTTCCAATCCCAATATATACTAAAAGATCTATTATTAATAACGCTCAAAATTTTTTAAATTTTAAATAGGTCTAATTCTTAGCTTCAACCATGATTTTAATCGAAATGGATGTAGATTCTTACATATTTGAAATTTCATATTCACACATTTATATATATATATATATTTTTTTTGTTTTGTATATATATCAACAATTTTTATTTTACCCAAAGATGAAAAGACAATGGATGTAATTTTTTTTTTTTCTTCATTTTTTTTTTGATTGTCTTTTTTCTAAAGGTTAGATATTGTATGTCATACTTCATTTAGGTATTATTCAGGTATTATAACATAAATAATACTATATATATTGTATTTTTACATTTTTATATGTTGAACATGTTAAAATTAAAAGTATCGAACACAGATATCGATATATAAATTTATATTATTTTGAATTTTTGATTCTTATCATAGTGGTTTGTTTTTTAATTACTGTTTTTTTGGTTTGTTTATTATAAAAGATTTTTGATTTTATCGATCATAAATCATGACTAGTGTTAAATCTCTATAACAATGTTTTTTGTTTAAAATACAAAACTAAATTTAATTGATTTTGGACAAATACTAATAATTAATATGTGAAAATTTCATTGAAATCCTAAGTAGTTTAGTTAATTCGAATAACTTAAATTACAATCTCTAATAATAATCAAAAAGATTATACAATGATAATTCTAAAAAAATTTTAAAGATTATTCATCAGTTTCGGGAGTTCATTACTTTCGGCTATAATTTTTGATTTGTTTTATATAACATGTATATTCAGTTAACGACAATTTAATAAATTTATTTTTTATTAAAATTTTAAAAAATATCGAATATTTTATAATTTTTAATTTCGGAAATAATTCCTTGACTGGATTTTTACATCAAAAAATTTCTTAGCCATGATCGTAATATTTTCTATAGCATGAAATACTGGTATCGTCATCCTAGTATATAAAAAAAAAAAACTGTTAATTATCAAAGAAAAATTAAAATAGAAATATTTTTTAATAAACAAACAAAGTTTCTTATATTATAAGAAAGACATAACTGATTCTTCCTCTGAAATCAATAGACCTTATTAGCAAGAAACTCCTTTATTTTACTTAAGAACGCCTTAAAACTAACTATCTTCACGCCCCACGTGTCGATGCTTCAATAATCAATTCCAAGGTTTGACTAACACCCTTGGATATCATGCGCACGCATGATACCTGAAACATGCACATGAATGCGCATTTATGCGCATTTTTCCGTTTCATGCGCATTTTTGCCCATCAAGAATTTATATATGTTTTGGTTAGGCCGCGTAATTTAGGCCAGAGAGCATAATGCCGGGCGGAATTAAGTGATAGGAATTTCAAAAGTTCCGAAAAGAAAATGAATGAACCTCAAAGACGAGCAAGGTCGCGACCGAAATTCGAGAAACATAACGATTTTTTCCGAAATGAAACAGAAAAAAGAGAATTTATATCATGCGGTATCATGCGCATTTTACGTTTCATGCGCATTAATGCGCATTCATGCGCATGTTATTATAAAATGCGCATTTTTCCCATCACTACCTTGGATGCTAGCCTACCAAAAGTAATCTAAAAGGTCTGATTTTTATTAAATAAATATAACTACCTTATGTATAACCTTTTCTTTTAGCCTTGTAAGTGTTTTATTTTTTTCGTCGGTTATGTTGTACCTCGTCAGGTATGTGTACTTCGTCGGGTATGTAGTAATCACTTTTGGTGTTTCATTTTTTTTCTATAATCTTTAATAATATAGTACTAGAAAAAACATTTTATTTATTTTTATATTTCTTATAAACAAACACGATAAAATCATACCAATATAGTGTTCTCCTGAAGAGGTTAATAATAATTATAATAATAATAAAACAATAGTAAAAAATTATAAAGTCTAAGCAAAAAAAGACTAGCAAAACAAAAAAAGTTAAAGAGTAAAATGGGTGTATTTATATTCTCACAAAAACAGACGCGCGTAAACACGCAACAGCCAATCAGATTACAAGATCAGGTGGTTTAATTATTTAGCGCTAAGAAAAAATGGTTTGATTGTTTGTGTAACGGTGATCTCCTTTTAAGATTAAGATATACGTACCGTAGCTTAACGCTACTGGTTAAGAATTTATTAATTGATTAATAAGGAAAAGAGATTTTCTATACTAGGAAATTTTGGATTACACAAGTAAAAACGGTTGTAAAAAAATACTCATTTTATCTCTTAGCGCTATTTATATTTGCAGTGATTAGCTTTGCGAGATGGGAAGAGATGCGTTACTAGCCGCTCAAAAATTTTCACTAGCCGTACAGTAAGTCTTTTTATAATAAAAGATTCAATTTGTATTACATACGGACTTATCCATTTAACGTGAAGTTTTTCTCATCAATGTCCCAAATACTTATTTAAATTAGTTTAGTATAATTATACGTAAAATAATATGTATTAACGATGTGTTACATAAGAACTCATCCTTTTAAAATGAAAAAAAAAGAAAATCGGAAACGCTTTTCTCATCAAAATAAAATGTCCAAATACTTATACAAATTTAGTTTAGCATAAGTTTTAAAATAATATGAATCATTAAAATTTATATTAACTGTTAACGAACAGATACGATTTTTCAAAAATTTTCGTTAATTTAAACAGATGTAACCTAAAATAGCATAAACGACATCTAACATTTTTCATATCAAATAACAATTTAAATCAATTACAACCCCAGTTCAAAAATCAAACATTAAATCTAAATCCTTTAATTATAAGTTAATCGTCAGTTTCTATGGCACTTACCGTTCTGAATTACGTTAGTACGTATAACTTAGACTGTTACTAAGTTTGTAAACATGTGATCTTTGCCAGATATAAATTTTAAAGAATTTCAACAAAACAAAAGACCTGATTTAAGACAATTATTAATTATGTACTAATCAAAGATAATATCGATACTATATTCTGTTCTCTAAAGTACCCAGTGTGATACAATTTTTTACATTTGAAAAAATTTAAATCATGTAAGTTATATTACACATCACATGATATATAAATAATATTTTAATCATACCAAGCAATGATAATTTTTCACTGTGCAGACTGTGCGCAGCACACAAAAACAAAATTTTGCGCATACTTTATTTGAATAGATGTGTGCATCGCACAGAAAAAATTGACGTTTTGTAAGTAGTATGCACAGTCGCAAATAGTTTCTCTTCTATTTTCTGTACAGAAAAAGTTTATAAATTGTGCGACATCCGCATAGTAAATTTTACCTGAAAAATTAACACTTGATACCAAGTACTTTGGAGAACAGAATACATACTTAGTGTTGCCAACTTAATTAAAATAATTTTTGATTTTGCAATTTCGAATATTAAAATTTATGCAAGATACAATAAATAATATTTGCATTATAAAAGCTAAAATATAAACTATATGAAACAGCTAATAGTGTAAATGTACAATATCATATAAATAAACATGTATTAATAGTTAACTTTACATATACATTAAATAATTATATATTGTATTATAAATGCTATATATTTAAATATACCAATACAACTATTTATATAATTTTATTGTAATAATATATCGTTATTATGGGCAAAAAGTGGCATTTCCATAAAACATGATGAAGCTAATGAAACTACGCCTCCAGAAACAGGATTAGATCATCATAGGCTTAGAAGGCTTAAGGGATCGTTGTCGATAAATGCCGATCCAAGAATTCTGAGAAATAACGATCAATTGTCTAAGCCTCTATGATAGCAAAGCCCTCCCTTCGTTGCAAATAAGAAATTAAAACTATTTAAAGGATGTTACAACACTAGAGGTTGGTAATGACTCTTATGTGTGAGGTAGGAGTATATAAAGTTGATCATAATTATCAAATTCCACTTCCCAAATCACCAATGTCACGTCTCTGGCGAGAAGCTTAAAGAAACCATATGAATTACCCATAATAATTGGTGGTAACTTACCGAATTACTCACAATAGAAACTGTACCATTTCCGTCTGTCATATCGTTTATAAATCCTATTTATCGTTCATTTCAAACAATTGATTTACTAAATCTTCCGTATTATAATCTATATTTCCAAGGTCTTCTATAAGATTACTATTTGTTGCTGTATTAACTTGCAACTGACTAGAGTAAAATGAAATACTCCCAAATTTTTCTTTTGGTCGACCACAGTGCACAAAATTGTAATCTGCTTTTTTTTCTATCAACATTATTTCAAGTTGAGTTTAGAAATTCATAGCCAATGAAATTTGTAAAATGAATGGAAAATTTCCGACCACTTAAAACTACGCTGGAATCATGTTTTAATCAACTGGAAATTCCGATAGATTTTGTGCACTGGTCGACTAGCATTTTACGATTACGATTAATATGTTGATCTTGCTGTTTTGTATCTATTGACATATTTTCTTCTGAATATGTGTCAGCTTGTGATGATGCATTTAAATATAAATTCAATTCTTCAATCATGTTAAAAAACAAGTTTAAAAATGATTTATTATATTCGAATTCAATGACTCTTTATATTCAAATTTAAATATTTACTCATTACAATAACAAAGTTAAACTTTTTTATTACATCAATCATAGCTTTAATCATAGCTTTAACTATATGTACGTGTTT